GTCATCATCTTCATCATTCTTCATCGTCATCATCTTCATCTTCATCATCTTCTTCATCATCATCATCATCATCATCTTATGTCTTAATCATCTCTATCATTACCATTCAACTCTCAGTGAGATAATGCTATAATATATTAATTTCTAAAGACTCCTGACAATGTCTTTCTTAGAAGAAGGAGAAAAAAGGAACAGGTGGAGCTGGAAATCCTCACCTACAGAAGCTGCTAAGGTCTCGCCTTCATCCACAGGCACCTGTCGAGCTCGGAGCAGGTCACTTTTATTTCCAACCTACAGGGAATGTCAGAACAGATGATCGGGTTGTGTGTGTTTAATCACAGGTGTACGGTGTGGCCATTCTCAGACTGACCAGGATGACAGGGATGTTCCCAGACGGATGGATCCGTCGTACGTGTTGGTACAGCGGTTGGATCGTTCTGTAGCTGCTGTGGTCAGTGATGGAGAAAACCAGAACGTAACCATCGGCCCAGTAGATGGATCTGGAAGATCAGGTTGGAATTCAGCAACAATTCACAAAATGCAAAGAATCAAATGTTGTCTTTTTGTTTAGAGGAAATGTGACCTGTTGATCTGCTCCTGACAGTACAGTCCGTCAGCATCATCCTGAAACACACACACACACACAGAGGTGTATCAGTTCTGAAACCAGACTGAAGATGGTTGATGGTAGAGCCCAGCAGATAGCTCTTCAGAAACATCTGCAGCTTAGACGTCCAGCAGGTTCATGGACCATGGTTCACAGATCAACATGTGAAGTTCTGGCTCCAGACTGTGGGTTTTACTGAGCCCCTGAGAGTCACTATCTCCTCAACCTCCATGGTCTGAACATTAGAACAAACGACGCTAATCTCTGGAAGTGTTTCACCATCCTCCTCCTCCTCCTTCTCCTCCTCCTCTTCAGTTCTGGCAGGAGCAGCTTCCTTCACAGCCTGTGTTATCTTCAGCAAAGGAAATGAGTGTCTCTGAGGTTTAGTTGAATAAACAGACGGAGCTGAGAGAAACGTTGGACTCATTATGGTCATCAAAAACCAGGAGATTACCATGAGGTCACTTCCTGTCATTGCAGTGACTTTCTTTAGAACTTGACTTAATTAAATTTAATTATTCACGGGTAACTTTTAACAACGTTTAACTGATCTTTACATTCTCTTAGACAATCCTACAGTTCACTTTAGTTTGTTTTTGGCTACATTTTTTTTAACATTTATATTTATACAATATATTGACCGATTTTATACTTTTGTTTTAAGTTTAATGAAACATCCTGTAAAATCTGTTTAACCTGGAGCTGTTTCAGAGATGATGTTAATTGTGTATTAAGTCTTAAATGTGACATCAGATGAGTCGTCCCTCTGGTGTGCACTGTTGTTAATGTGTAAGATGAACAACTATCTTTAGTTGGTTAAGTCGGATGAAAACCTTCACCTGCAGAGCGACACAGGGCGTGTCCTGGATCTGCAGCGACACTTCCTCTCCGTCCAGCGTCACCTTCCTAGAATACAGGGCTCCTGCAGAAGAGCAACAAAAACACAGATTTTTATTTTTATTATATTTATTATATATTTTTTTCTTTTTCTGTTTCCCATAAAACTGTAGGCTCACCAGTGTTTGCTTCGTAGTCTCCAATGAACCTTTTGGTCAGAAACCTGACGATTAGAGCTGCAGCGTGGAAGAGAGAAAGAAAGAAGAAGATTTTTCCAACCACAGCCTGTGCACATTCCTCTGAACACATCTGGATCATTTAGTGATCAGTCTTATGACCATGTGAAATCAAAGTGAAATCATTTGATTCGCTTAACCTGCCCAAACTACATGAACTCAGATACTGACTCCCACTGAGAGGAGATGGAATTTTCCTTCTCTTCCCGACAGATTTTTGGTTGTGAAATCTTTGAAGAGCAGAGACGTGAGCTGAATAAACATCAGAAAATGATTCACTGATTCTCAGAAATACTCCATCTGTGGTCAAAGATCTGTTCCTGTCAGCTTCTGTTTACTTAGATCCTGCTCTGACCTCGCTATTTATCCGATACTTCCCTGAAACCAGGGGGTTTTACTCCACCGTAGAAAAAAGAAAACACCAGCGTGTGCAGTGTTATTGATAAAAAACCCAAACATGTTTTACAGCCATCTCACAATTTGGCAGGATCCAGGTCCTCAAGATTCGTAAAAATACGTGAACTAGCCCTTTAAGTTTTCTGTACTTCTGCTCTTTTAACACTTTTGTAAAATCTGACTTGATCTTTATCAAATTGTGAGAGTCAACTATCCAGCTGGGCTTCTGTAGCTCAGACAACCTCCATGTTCTCCCAGAAAGTATGAACCCATTTATCAATAAAAGCTGTTTCGGTTCTAAGATGTAAAATTGTCTCCTCCTGCTGTCCTTTATCGGTACTATATGTCAATACATTATTGCAGAAATATTAAAGGGCGTTAAAACTGCCTTGCACACAAAAACAAATTGAATTTTTCCATGTTTTAGCTACTTTTGGTGATCATTCTGAACAAAATTAACATTTAAAAAAAAGTCATATTCATATCAAATCTCTTCCTTTTCTCTCCCTCACCAGTCTTCCCAACGCTGCTGGCTCCCAGCACCACAATCTTCACCGTCTTGTTTGGAACACAGTCCAGCAGTGGATACTCTGGAATAGGAACCAGCAGGAAATTCCCAGATCCTCCACCACTGCTGTTGTTCATGTTCATTCTGAGCCAGGAAGTCTGAGACAGTCTAGAGCATTTGTCTGCCCTCTGCTCTCAGTCCTGCGCCGTGTCAGGAAAAACTGAAGGAGAATATCAGCCAAGCACTCCCTAGGTGCTCTGAGCAGAAACAAGAAAAGCAAGAGTCACTCTAATATTCTCATTGCTGGGAAAAAAGCAGAGAAAAGTCCAGCTCTCAGTGTGAATGAATCACCAAGGACACAAATAAGAAAGCTCCCTACATTATTCCTAGGTGTTATGAATGGGAAGAACAGAGGAAATATCACCAAACTACAACATTCCTAAAATGCTCTTAGTGTGAAAAATTGGGAAAAAACACTGCAGTATCCCAAAACACATAAAGGATACAGTCCGGTATTCTCAAAGTTCAGTGTGTAGGAAAACTAAATGAACAAAATAACAGCATGTTCCACCTTGGAAAAACAAAACAAAAATCACTCCAGCATTTCCCAAAGTCTTTCTGAAAAGCAGCTCCTGGAGAAGAGTAGAAGATTCTGCTCAATAGTTCTGACGTCACCACTTCACCATCCCCTAATGGTTTTCCCAGATCTGCCACACTGAGAGCAGAGGGAAAAAGTTGAAGCTTTTACTTTTCGTTCCTCTGCTGCTCTGTCCCAGGACACAGGCTGGGAGGAGGAGGAAAAAGGGGAAGAGGAGGAGGAAGAGATGGAGGAGGGGGAGGAAGACCAAGAACTTCCTCCACCTCTTTTGAGATTCCCATGAGGTCAGAAACTGAAATTCACTTCCCAGCCTGAACACAAACTCCAAAGATGAATTATTAACATCCACATCCACTCAGTTCACGATGTCAAAGGAAAGGCTTCCCATTGGTCTGCACATTTTACTGTTGTTTTATCCTGAAAAAGACAGCTTTTAGCAGAACTATGGAAGCCAAAAAACATGAACAGATAATTAACTACCATATGCCATTTTTTTCTTTTTAATATAAATCAACCAAATGCAATAAAAAACACAAATTGGTCAAAACACAGGTCTTCTTTGGTGTTGTTATTACTATAAATTAGACATCAGGGTATATATATATATGTATATACACGGCAACTATAATAATAATAATAGTAGTAGTAGTAATAATAATAATTATTATTATGTTTTACTTTCAAGAATTTGACAGCGACCGGAAGTCTTTAGCCCCCTCTCTCTCCCTCTCTCTCTCTCCTCTTTTGCCTTCACTTGTTTCACGGTTCGGTCCAACATGGCGGCAGACGGATGGAAATACTGATGACAGTCCGAAAGATCGCCTCGATTTGTACGATGGTAAGGAAAATAGGGTTCAGCAATCATCGGCTCTGTCCGGTGCTGCTTCTGTAAGCTGCACCGGGAAGGCTAAGAGGCTAGCTCTTAGCTACATGTTAATAACAAAGTTATAAAGCTGATATCAGCTCAGTTTAGTACACTCCAGAACTGCAACTCTGAACAGCTGAGATTCACTGTTTGTTGTTTTACGAGTTCGGCTTCTGTTCGGCCCTGTTCGCCTACACAATGAGAGACAGAACCGTAGAGGGCAAATGGCTAGCTGTTCGCTGTTAGCCACATGTTAATAACAACATGATTAGATAAAGTTGTAAGACCATAATTTTTTACGTTTTACACTGCATACATTAATGTACCAACAGGGCGTCTCTCTGTGTTTGTATACTCATCCAGCTGTGGTTCGGCACCAGTCGGCTGTGCCCTGATTGTGTTTTCTAGTTGTTCGCCAGTGTGTGGCTATTAGGCGGAATCATTCGGTTGTGCTTCGGTAGTATTCGGCTGTTGTTCAGTGTTCGTCTCTGTCTGCTGCCGCTATCAGGGTTTTTTTTATCTTATATCGAATTTATCTTTATAAACAATTTATTGACGTCGTAATATTATTATTACGGAAATTAGAATCATTACGGTTGACTCTCAGATTTTAAGTCTCACATTAACGTTTTATCTCTTTATCAAAGTCGCAGAATAGTTTTAAATTATGTCACTATAATTGAGGAAAGAGCCAAGAAAATATGAAAATATAAACTTATTAAAGTGTTATCAAAGGCTTTTTTAAAATAAGTCAATTTATATGGTATTAAAATTCAGTAATAATTCATAATATATAATTTATTTAACTTTATTTAACTTTATTTAACTTAAATGTCATTTTTATCCTCATTGCATTATGTAGTTGTTGTACAATGTAACATGATGGTTTGTCAATAAATACATGAAATACAATTTAACAATTGATCAAATGTGTAAAATCATTTAAATATAGGATAATGGGTTGTTAAATGTGTGACGACAACAACTTGGTCCATGTTCGTTTTCACTGTTGTTGAACTCAGCTCTTGTTGACCCTGCAGGGCGCCAATGCCTCTGCTCTGGAAAAGGAGATTGGACCGGAACAGTTTCCCGTGAATGAACACTACTTTGGACTGGTCAATGTAAGTGGTACTGTACGTGTACCTGACACATGGGGGTTTATAAAACTGAAAAAGAAGATTTGTACATTTCATCTGACATTTTAGGTGTTTTTTTTATTACCTTTTAATCTTTTGCAGTTAGTTATTGTTCTCAATGTACTTATTATTTTCTGTTAAAAATGTTATTATTTTAGAATTTGTTTGTAAAGCTTACTAGAATTATACTTATTAACAATATTATGATTATTTTATTAGTAGTAATAGTATTACTGTAGATAATAGGTGTATAATACTTACTATTTACATACTAGATTTTCCAAATATTTATTAAATATACTTTTTAATTTCTTTTCATATCAAAATAACATTTTTCCTTTTATAATTTGAATTTTAATTGAAAGTAATTATTCACAGACAACAAGAAGAAAGCTAATGTTTCCTTCCTGTTTCTGTGCCTTAAGTTTGGAAACACCTGCTACTGTAACTCAGTGCTGCAGGCTCTGTACTTCTGTCGACCCTTCAGAGAAAAGGTCTTGGCCTATAAGGTGAGTGGGAGCGATATTTTCTCTACAATCAGGCAGCGAGGAACAGCAGCTCCCGTGTCTCTGTGAGCTAAAATCACTGATTTCCTCAGTGAAAACAGCAGTTCAACGAACCCATACCTTGAACCTCCTTCTTCTCCTCCAGGTTCAGCCTCGGCGTAAAGAGTCTCTCCTCACGTGCTTGGCCGATCTTTTTAACAGCATTGCTACGCAGAAGAAAAAAGTTGGTGTCATTCCTCCAAAGAAATTCATCTCTCGGCTCCGAAAAGAAAATGGTAAGGACACAAAATCCTAATCCCTGAGTCACAGTGGTTGTACTGTTGTAGGAGGAGTGAGAGGTTTATGAAGGTCGCTAGTCTTGTCTTCTCCCTCATCTTCTCAAGATGAGGGAGAAGACAACAGAATGAAAATGAAATCCGACTTCACTCAACTCTCATCTTCACACTCAACAGAACTCATCCTATTTTCTTCATTCCTCACCCACTGTCTCCCCCTTACACATCTCTCTTTGTACTTTTCCATTCTTCTCCACAGAGCTCTTTGACAACTACATGCAGCAGGACGCACATGAGTTCCTCAACTACCTGCTCAACACCATCGCTGACCTGCTGCAGGAGGAGAAGAGTCAGGAGAGGCAGCAGAACGGGAAAGTGCTGCATAATGGAGGAGGAGGAGGAGGAAGTGAGGAAAAAGGCGGAGGGAACGAGGGAGAAGGAGGGAAGGAGACGCAGCAGACATGGGTCCATGAGATCTTTCAAGGGACGCTGACCAATGAGACACGGTGTCTCAACTGTGAAGCTGTAAGTGTTTTGTTTTTTTTATCACCAATTTTCTTTAGTGTTGGAGAGGTCTCATTACATTAACTATTGTTCTGTGTTTCTGTTTTAGGTGAGCAGCAAAGACGAGGACTTCCTGGATCTTTCTGTAGACGTGGAGCAGAACACCTCCATCACTCACTGTCTCAGGTCTGTCCTGACACCACACACACACACGACAGACTCTTTAAACAAACTTTTCACATCAGCAGCCTGTGAATCATCTGTGTTTGTGTGTTGTGAACAGAGGCTTCAGTAACACAGAGACTTTGTGCAGTGAATATAAATATTACTGTGAGCAGTGTCGCAGCAAACAGGAGGCTCAGAAAAGGTGGGTGACATCACAACCACGGCTGTATTACAAACCCTGTGTGTGTGTGTGTGTGTGTGTGTGTGTGGTGGTTCTGCCTGTCTGGACCCTCAGCCTGCACTCAGCTCTGTCTCTTCTGTCTGTGGATCAGGATGAGGGTGAAGAAGCTGCCCATGATCCTGGCTCTGCACCTCAAACGCTTTAAGTACATGGACCAGCTGCACCGCTACACCAAACTGTCCTATCGTGTGGTCTTCCCTCTGGAGCTCCGCCTCTTCAACACGTCTGGGGACGCCACCAACCCCGACCGCATGTACGACCTGGTGGCTGTGGTGGTGCACTGTGGCAGTGGTCCGAACCGCGGACACTACATCACCATTGTTAAGAGCCACGGTTTCTGGCTGCTGTTTGATGACGACATCGTAGAGGTGAGACTTGTTGTTGTTGTCATTTCACTCAGGACACGTGTCTAAACATCTGACACTCAGGTCAGTCAGTCAGTCAGTCAGTCAGTCAGTCAGTCAGTCAGTCAGTCAGTCAGTCAGGAATCCTGACGTTCCTCGTGTTGTGTTTGGAGCTGCTGCACAGACGTGAACCTTCAGGTGTGAGGAGATGAGGAGTCATTGATGAGTAGAGATAAAGAGCTGACGGTGGATGGATGGATCAGATGATCCTCCTTTTTCATCCAGGGCCTTTTTATCTCAGTGGAACTAAGATCAAAGTCAGAAAGATACAGTCTGACAAGTCTGACTGTAGAGAAACCAGCAGGTCTTTTTTTAAAGAGTTCCACTAACTGTCTGTAGAACCAAACAGTTCCACAAAAAACCAACAGTGTTTGCTGTTGAAAATGGTTCCTGGTACTTGGTGAGTGTGAACCAGGCCCAGGCTGGTGAAGGACTGCGGTCACTGCTCTCCACGGGGTCAAAGGTCAAGTAATTGAACTGAAGTTTCCCACAGTCTCCAGCGTGGGGAGCAGCTGATGTTTATTTCATCTTCACTGAGGTGGAACTGGATTTGGATGAAGAAGAATAACAGAGAACAGTGAGATGTTGTCGGATAGTTCAACGTGACAGACAGTCAGGACTAAAGGAACAGAGAAGGAATTCTCCAGAAAGTCCAAAGGTCTGAGACCACAACTGTTCCCACAAAGTGAATGTAGAGACTTCAGCCAGAGAGGTTCACAACTCCCATGATTCCACAGGACAGAGTGACACCTCAGGGTCTTAGACAACGCTGACCCAGCTGAGAATAAACTCACAGACTTTGCTGTTCTTCACACCGGCCACCGGGGGGAGACCAGTTCAGTTCATTGTCAACTACTTAGATAGAAGATAACCTTTAGCTTCTGCTATACAAATGAAATGTAGCTTTGGCGTTATACACCACATTATATAGACATAAAGATTTGAATTTTCATTTCAGCTAATTTTCCACCTTTTTTTCCATAGAAAATCGATGCTCAGGCCATTGAGGAATTCTATGGTCTGACCTCAGATATTTCCAAGAATTCTGAGTCAGGATACATCCTGTTCTACCAGTCCAGAGACTGAAGGGGCCCATACTCATCCCTCACGTCAGTCTGCAGATCAGCATAAAAGGGGAGGGGCTTGTGGCTGCTACCAGCTCTGCCCAGCACCTTGACCTGAGGGTCCAGGTTGTTTACTTCCTGTAGGCGGAGTTTTCCTCAAAGCTAACCTTCTGGACCCACAGGCTGTGGAGTGGAGTTTTACAGGAACACCAGGACGACGTCCGGATGCTGGCTGTGCACTTAAGCCTGGAGCCACTGAGCAAGGCTAATGTAAGAAGCTAACATCCATGAGAGAGAGATGGACCAATCAGCTGTCTCTGATGAGTCTCAGAAGAAACTCCAGCCTGAGGACACCACCACCATCATCGTGATTATCTCCGTCATCATCACTGTTAGCATTTGTCCTCTACATATTCAACTGTGCTTCATTAGCTTTTACCATTAGCTCTACACTAGCACACTCACAAATACCTAACAACATAGTATAAACATCTAAACAAATATTCTGCTAACAGAAAGTTTCAAACAGACCTTATCGCCACTTCACTTTAACTAATCACAGCGAGGGTTTGCCTGTTTTATTCTTGATTTTCAGCTAACCTTTAGCATTCTGTTGCTGTTACCTAAAACAATGTCCTGTGGAGACAGAAAGTCGACAAGAAGAGTCGGCAAGAAAGAAACACTGCTGTCAAAGCCAAACCATTAGCTTTAGCAACATTAGCTGAACAGCTAAAAGAGTCGACTTGTACTTCCAAAAATCTTCCCACTGAACAGATAGTTTTGTTACTTAGGATTTTTTCTTCTTTCAAACGTATCAAACTATGTAATACTCTGAAACTCAAAACAACCCAAACAGTGAGCCTTAACATGACTGACAATCTTGTTAGCTTAAGCCAGTTAGCTGCTTAGTCACACGGGAAAGTCACTTTTGGTTCTTAAGTGTCTTTATCGGCCATTATCAGTCCTTTAATTTTGTTTTTTTTCCAAGGTGTCAGGAACAGCTCCTGCACAAAGGTCACTACCTTGAACTTTTTGAATGTTTGTTGTGTTGATTGTGTTAAACATTTAAGCTAACCATCACTAACATCTATTTTAGTCAAGTCTCTTGTTATCAGCTGCTAATCGTTAGCTCACCTTCCGGTTGTAACATCTTCCCTGTAGCTTCAGCTCTATTCAACACAAACTGATGCTTGTCAACTCACTTTGATGACTGACTTGAAAGAATGCAAACTGTAGTTCCTTCGTTGTTCAATGACTGACATGTTCTGCAGAAAAGTTACATTTTGATCAAATGTAGGGATTTTTTTTGTTGATTAAAACAATATCTTTGTTACATTTATAGAAACACACATTTACATTTTCTGAAGGTTGATTCACTTTTTTTCTCATCACTTTATCTTTAACTATTTTTTTCAATATAGGAACAAATTATCTTTAAGTATTTTTTTTCTTTATGAACAAATGAAGCACAAGTGTAAAGTTCTCACAGGAAACATGGTCTTATTTAAACCAGTTTTTTTTATTTAAATAATAATTATTAAAATGTATGTTTATGTTTAATGACTGTTTACATCTCAGATGAAGAATTTTTTTTAAATATTGCTTTTATGTTAAAATTCTACTTTTGTGCTATGGACACAACTGAGAAAGTTTTTGTTTTTTTCTTGTTTATTTGTACATAACAGATGTCATTATTATTATTTTAAAATAGCTAAAATATTAAAAAAAATAAATACAAGCTCTTTGCAAACCTTTTTCCTTTTCTTTCTGCTCAATTATTTTTTAACGATTCCTCAGATCTTCTTAGAACAGCTCAAATATGTTTCAATTTAGCTAAATATGAAGTGTTGAAATATTATTTTTACCTTAAATATTTTGTAGGAGTTAAATATAATTTGAATATTTATACGAGCAAAAATCTATTTAAGATGTACTCTGTAACATTTAAAATTAATTAGTTTTAGTTCAAATGAAATCAGTAATAAACAACACATTCAGCCTGGTTTAGTTTCAGTTTTTGGCTCAGATCATTTGTTTTTCTCAGTAAAGTGAAAATAAATAGATTTTAGAGTGAATCGGTTGGTGACGAGAAAATAACAGGGACCTTCGATATATATAATTTTATTTTACAAAGAACCGACGCGTTTAGATTATCAACGGTGGTGGATGTCTCCCTCTGATGGCTCAACGTCAGAACTGCGCCCCTACAACCTCTTCGGTTCCAGTGAATTAAGAAAATAAAAATGCAATATCTGTTAGCCACAAATTAAAATACATTATGTTTTACTTTCCACACTTTTTTTTTTTACTATTTTCAGTTTGATATTTTTATTTAAGTGATGGAGAGGAAAGATTTAACGGCAATGGTTTTTGAAAGGAAACATTTCCAAAAATCCACACATGGGAAATTTAGTGTCATGCAGCCACGGATAATAATCATCATCATGTTTCAATTTGTTTATAAGTGAAAGTTTTCAATAATCCTACTCATCTTGCATTGAACTATTTTTTGAAGAATTCTGCAATTTATCCGTTATTTCCTGACCACACATGGTGCATGTGGAAAAATCCACACATCCACACATCCAACACTTAGAGTCATATTATTCCCAATATCAATGAGAAATAATTAAAAGTAATTCCACCCTCAGGTGACAATATTTTGTAACTTACGGAGTTCATTTTAAAATTCACCTCAGAAACGACTCTGCTAGTTTCAGTAGGAAGAACTTCGAACTTCAAAAAATCTTTCCATATGAATGGCGTTTTCCATGGATTTAAGAGGTGTTTTCAATTTGAAAAATTCAAATTACATTTACCAAACATTAGGTTGACAAACTTCTAGGCTTATTTTACTTTGCTTGGAAATGTGTGCGTTAAGGATGTCTGATTTTTTCCAAACCAAAGAGTGCTGCTTTCTAGCATTTTCCAGGAAAAAAATGGCAACCTTTGAAGAAAATCATTTTCTGGTCTTCATATCAAAGTCAGGTTGTTTCTATCATGTGTGGAATCACTGGGGAAATCCCTGGTATCTATCTATCTATGTGATAAATGATTTAAAGGATTTCAAACCAGAAATATTCCGTTCCAGATTTCCGTCTTCTTCACAAACTTCACGTTGGATTATTTTGCTCATGCAGTGGAATGAAAGGAAACGCAGGCTCTGCTAATATGATGGAAGTTCACAGCCGTTCCTGGACTCCGTGCTCCTCCCCTCTCTGTCACATCACCGTCTCTGACCCGGAGGTTTTCCCTGTGAAAAATTCCCAGAAGTGCGAGGGGGATTTGTTCTGTTCCTGAGGAGTCTGTTTAATCCATACATTGGAGGAGGAACAGCTCAAAGCAGAACAGCTGCCGCTCAGAGAGGAGCCAAGAGGTGGCGCAACCTGCTGCTCGGAGCAGGAGGATGAAACCAGGGACATGAGGTTGTGGTGGGAATGAAACTGACGTATGTGTCGGATAGATTTTTCCTGAGAGACGTCACCTGCAGGAGAAAAGAAGGAAAACTGTGAAGAGGTGGGAAAACTATTCCACACTTTCGGGAACAGACTGAAAACGTTCCACGTCTAACAACGTTCCTTGAGAATTTTACAGTAACTATAACAAGGTAGAACCAGGAACGCCCACAGCCAGGAGTCATTTCTGCTGGTACTAATTGCTCTGTAGGTTCCTGGTAATAGTTCCTCCACTATCTGAAGTAGAGCCTGGAACTTTGGTTGAAGTGAGCTTTAGTCAAAGTATGTGTGTTTAGTCTATGGTCCATAATGTTGAAAAGCACCTACAGTAACTCCTGGTACTTTCTGTGTACACTTTCTGTGTCTGATACTGGTCAGTGCTGTCACATAAGTGTCTGATACTGGTCAGTGCTGTCACAGTGCATGGAGTGACTGGAACTATTTTTAGCCTCTTGTTCTCTTTACTGCACTGGAACCACTTAGTACCTGAGGTGTCTCTGGTTCATGGTACAGGACACTGCAGATACATGTTAGCTTTATAAGTCATAGAAATGATGAAAAATTAGTTCTACGAGTCACCACTGGGCGGTGCTACTGCTTCAATCTGAGTTCATTGGACTTTCATTTGAGTTTTTTACAGTTTCCAACAGTAACACATGTGAATTTGTACCGTTTCCGCTCTCCTGGCGTTTCCTGCTCTGGTTTTGCTTCAGAACATGGAAAAAAACTTCACAGGTCAAACCTCCTTCACCACCGTCAGCATCGGGGGGGAAGAGTGGAGACGGAGGATCCAGAGAGGACTGACTCCCGCTGGATATTCCCGATGAATCCACAGACGTTCTTGTGTCCCTACGACTGCCTGGTGTTCCTACTGAGTCCAGGGACATTCCTGTGTCTCGACGAGAGCCTGCAATGCTACTGTTGCCCTCTGCTGCCTGATTGCTGTTACTGCTGCAGACAACGAATCAGCGTTAGCTGTAGTGAAATGACGCCACAGTAGACTGGAGGATCATGGGAACTATAGTACCTGAATTTTCTGCGCAGCAAGTAATTGATGACATCTGGGTCCGTCTGGACCAGACTCATCAGAACTTCCTGTTGCAGCTCCGCAGAAACCTGATAAAACAATTAGCTTTATAAACTACATGTTAGCTCCACATTAGCGGCAGGGCACGACGTGCTAGCTTGTCGTACCATGAAGAGTTTTCTGTAGTTCTGTATCAGCATCAGTGTGACGTTGATAATGGCTGCACTGTCCTCCATTCCAGCAGCAGAGTGAGGAGTCACTTCTCCTCCTCCTCCTACTCCTCTCTCTTTCTGGAGGAGGTTTGGTCCAAAAATCACGGCCAGGTTTGCAGCCGTCATCTTATTCCCAGGAATCTACACAGAAAACAATCTATTAAACTTTTTGCTGGACCAACTTACCTTGTACTGAAGTAAACCTAAAACTATGAATATGATAAGCTAATTTATAAACTTTGCACTAATGTAAGTAAACTTAGGCTGACCTTTTCTTTCTTTATTTTTTAACCAATTTACAATGTATCTTTGCAAAATTTTATTTGAGATCCTGCAACATTTCACCTCCTCTCCATCAGTTCCGACACTATCCTGAGCAAAGCTCTGCACAGTCTGTAGCAGAGTGAGGAGGCGCAGCAAGGTGTCGCAGTTACAGGGAGGAAGCAGGTAGAGGAGGTGCTGCAGGAAGTGGAGCTGCTCTGCTCCTCTCAAACCTGCAGGAGAACCAGGAGGAAGTTAGGGTTCGGCGGCGTGTTGGTTTTTAAATGTTAGAGAGCAGCGAGTCGTCGACATACGGTGTGAGTGGAGAAAGGCAGCGTAGAGCTCGCGGGGCAGCAGAGGGTCAGGCATGTCCCTCAGAAACTCCTTCAGCAGAGCAGCCACATCATGGACACTGTGTTCCAGGTCCAGCCGGACATCCACACCCAGGTCAAAGTTCTCCCTCAGCTGAGGGACGTTCAGAAGAAAAGCGTGTCAGCTGACGACCAGGACGTGGGGGATTTGAAAAACGGGAAGTGAAACATCAGCAGATTATTTTTAAATTCTGATGAAAACAGCCACAGGGAGGAAACAGATTCAGTTCCAACAGAGATGAACAGCAGTTCAGTGGAAACATTGATGACCAACATGAGCCTAGAACCCAGAGAAGATGAAGTTCTGACCTGCCTCACTCTCTTCTTGGAGCTCCCCACTCTGAAGATCCCCACGGTCTGAAGACCTGGGCAGACACAACACAGACGTCTCCTCAGCACTGAGGAAGGCTTCATTCATTACAGTTAGATGTAGACCATGTGGGCTGCAAATGTAGACCACATGGAGGGCAGATGTCGACCATGTGGGCTGCAAATGTAGACCACATGGGGGGAAGATGTAGACCATGTGGGCTGCAAATGTAGACCACATGGGGGGCAGATGTAGACCATGTGGGCTGCAGATGTAGACCACATGGGATGTAGACCATGTGGGCTGCAAATGGGGGAAGATGTAGACCACATGGGCTGCCTACATAGACTGTGTGTGATTTTATATTTGATGTGGATTTGCCAATGTGTATACCACACTGGCTCCATCTGTAGCCCATGTGGGTCTGACATGTACTGTACAGTACAGTACAGTACAGTACAGTACAGTGCAGTAGAGTACAGTACAGTACAGTACA